TCGTCGTCGACAACAATGAGCACAACACCGGCGTGCTCGATACCTCTGCAAATCCAGGCCAAACCTTCTGTTACTACTGCCGTCGGCCTTTTTCTTCTCCTCTCAAACCCAGATCTGGGTTTTTCTCAAACCCAGATTCCCCTGTGAGCTGCTTGGTGGTAAGGGCGGGGTTTGGTTGGTCCTTCAACTGTTGGAGTTCGGCTTCATATTCTTCAGCGTCGAGCGCCCAGGCGCTAGGCTTGCCCCATGGAGATGAGACAGTTACCGCCATTGTCAATTCGCTCTAAGCTTTCACCTTGGGTTCGATTCTGTCTACTTCGAGCTTGCGTTTGTTAGAAGCAGGAACGGCTTGAGAGAGAACCCAGAATGGCCCCTCTGCAAACCCAGATTTCTTCTATATTTATCTTCCTCTCTGATTTATCTCTTACTCATTATTTTGAATTCTCATCCATAATTCTGATTTGATTTCAATTCAACATTTCTTGCAATTTCATAGCTTGATTTTCGCTTTTCTATCCCCATTGTTGCATATTGAGAGCTTTCGTTGAAGCAGGTAGCAAGATTCGATTTTTCATTCTGTTCATTAGAGTTTTCTTTTACCCACGCTGATCTGGGTTTGCTCTAAATTAGTGCTTTTTTGGGGTTTAGTGTGTTTTCCCTTCTGCTGTTTATCTTGGAGCAGATAGTCTTATCGGGGTTTTGCTCCAAAAAAGTTCGATCCTTTGTGGATTTTAAAGGATATTTTGGTGTCTCTAGGAAGTGGGTTGCGGTTTGTGGAAGCTTTCAAGGATATGTGTTTGTGAAGTTCGTGTTCTGCTGGTGTTAGGTATTTATTGGTGGGTGATTTTATGAGCTGCTTGCGAGCTTAATGTTTTTTGAATTGTTCGTCCGATGGAGAAATGAAATTAATGAATAATTTCACATAAAACCAAAGAAGGGAGCAATTTTTCTAAAACCCAGATTTGGGTTTGAGAGAGGAAGAAGAAGGGAGAAGGGAGAAGAGAGAGAGAGAGAGAGAGAGAGAGAATAAGAAGAAGAAAGAAAGATGAGCAGGGAAAGTAAGGAGGAAAGGAGGAAGAAGATGAAGTTTGAGAGAGAACCCAGATCTAGGTTTGCTGAGGTAAGAGAAGAGGAAAGATAAAGGAGAGAGAAAATGAAGGAGGAAGAAGAAATATGACGTGGGTGGAAAAAAAAAAGAATTATTATTTTTAAATTAAATGAAAATGCCAACTCATAAAAAAAATGCCAACTCATAAAAAAAATGCCAACTATGTTTTTTTTTTCCATGTCATTAGTTAAG